AGCTGGGCCGCAACCGCATCGTGTGCCGCGTGGTGGAGATCAAGCGGCCCTTTGGCGTGACCATGTACCGGCTGCGGAGCGGAGCTGGAGTGGTGGAGGGTATGCATCAGGCCAGCAGGCTATCTAAGGCGCCACCCAGCCTGGCCAGCGAGCTGACCTTCAGCGGCACGGCGCAGCGAGGAGTGCCTGTGGTGTCTCTCAATGTGGCGATGGCGGCGCAGCCCGGCGGCGGCAAGGCAGCCGTGCGCTGCGGCTGCCGCGGCGCCTGCACCCGGAACTGCAGCTGCAAGAAGAATGGTGCGCGGTGTGGGCGGCACTGTGGCTGTATAACCGGTAAGGGTGGCAATTGCAAGAACCATTGAAGAAGTGTGCCTTGTACGCTTTGCCGTCTCCGCTGAAAGGTGCTGCCGCCTGTGGCGGCTTCATATTTCCTGTTCATTTCTGTTGTTCGGTCTCTCTGTTCGTGTTGGTTGGCTTGTAAGAGTTGTATTTCTGACGCTAGAGAGGTGAGATGACAGCGGGAGCGTTGAAGCGTGCATGCCATCACGTGTGCAAGCAGCCCCGCTCCGCCCCGCTCAACCCTCAAACATGGCTCTATGGGGTCAGTTCACGTATGGGAGGGGAGCGCCGCGCGGGCTGCCAGGAGCGAGCGGGGGCGGGGGTTGCCCAATCGGGAGGGTGCCACATCAGGGGGCAACAGATGGTAAGGCCCCAGGAGAACGGGTGTGTTCGAGCTGGTGCGTGCAGAGTGCGCGTGCAGAGTGGGGGGTCCGTGCAGCGCAACCCGCATAGAACGCGTTGAGAGGTGCGGCAATCGCGGGCTGACGCACTGCGCAAAGAGCGCAGCCTCCACCGAGTGCAGAAATGTACCGCCCTTTCGCCGCCGCCTTGCTGGCGTCCCGACTTGGGTGCCCATGCCCATGCCAGCACTGCCGTCTATCGTTCAGTTAATTACACACTGGGCATCCGTCGTGGCTGCCGCACCTCGCAGCACGCAATCTGAAAAGAAACAGGGTAGGGGACGAAGCTGCGGCCCCGTCCCCGCGGCGTTCACAGCAGCGGGCGACGGGCATGCATGCAGGTTATGGTTAGTGCAAAAAAGGGCAACAGAGAGAGCAATAAGCGGGGATGGCATATTGCAGGAGCATGTGGGAAGGCAAGAAGAGATACGAGAAAGGGGATTGGGTGGTGCGAGGCAGGCCACTGGGCGATACTGATGGATTGATTTCAAAATGTGCGGCGGCACGCACCCTGCTTAGTGCAGCAGCATGGCGGCCGCAGCTGCGGCCGCAGCCGCCGCGGCCGCGCCGACCCCGCGGCCGCGCCCCGCGGCCGACCCAGGGGCCGAGGCATTGCCTCCGCAGCTGCGGCCGCAGCCGCCGCGGCCGCGCCGACCCCGCGGCCGCGCCCCGCGGCCGACCCAGGGGCCGAGGCATTGCCTCCGCCGCCGCCGCCGCCCAGGGCGGTGCCGCCGAGCGCCTCGGCGACCTCAGCCGCGCCGCCGCCAGCCTGGCAGGCGTTCCAGGCGGGCAGCACCTGGGCTGCCTTTACGGTGCGTACGGGAGACAGGGCCGCAGGATCTGCCACCGCCTTTGTCTCCACAAGGTTGGGGTAGCTGGCTGCGGCGGCAGCAGGCGGCGGGGAGATGAAAGGTGAGGAGGGAATGGAGAGATGAGGCGCAGGGGTAGTGACAAAAAACAGGCGGCGTGCTGTGCTCCGGGTGACGCGAGGCAAGCACCGCCTGACGCACACACCTCCCCTGCCGAGAAGCCCAGCCGGCCCTGCCCCCTGAGGCCCACACTGCGGGCTGGCCTCCAAGCCTGCAGTGAGTCAATGCCCTCCCAGACTCGCGGCTGCCCAGCTCACCCTTGCCGCACCGCTCCAGCCACATGAGGGTGGCGGCGGTGTAGTCGCCAAGGTTGGTGTGGTGCGCCCACGCCACCGCAAGCTCCTCCCTGCGGTCGGGACAAAGGGGCGCAGGGACGGCGGGGCGGCCTGCGTCAGCCGCTGATAACGCAGGCAGGCAGCCGCCAAGCATGCACACAGGCAGGCAGGCAGCACCAAAGCGCAGGGGTCGGCAGCAGCACACTGCCCCAGCCAGGCTACCGCCAGCCAGGCCCACCCCATCCTAGCACGCACCCCACCTCAGCGCACCCCCCCCCCAGCAACCCCCCCAGCAGACCGGCTGCAACAGGCCTCACTGGATGTGCTCCAGCAGCAACTGGGCCGACAGGTAAGGGTCGTCCGCTCCGCCGGCGGGCGAGCTGCCATCTGAGCTGCTGAAGTTGGGATTGGCGTCCTCCTGGTTGGTGGCCGCCTCGCTGGCAGCAACCTGCTCGGCGCTCACCTCCTGGGGGAAGAGGGAGACGGGTGCGGCGGGTGGCGGGTGTGTGGGATGGGGTGGGGTGGCTGGTGTGCTGTCCACGTATGGCAGGCACAATACGCGCCGTGGAACAGTATGGGCAGGGCAGCGGCAGTCCCAACAAGCTTGCCAACTTTCAGCGCCTGTTGCTGCACCACAGTAGAGCAGGTGGCCTCCCCGCCGCGTCCTCCCCACCTGAATCGTCAGCAGCTCCTCCCCAGCAGCCCCCAGCGCCTGCTGCGCCTGCGCCAGCGTGGACCCATTCTTGAGCGCCAGCTGCTGCTTGCGCGTCACCTTGACCATGCCCGGCAGCTCCTCCCGCAACATCGCGTCCCAGGGCGCCGGCTTGCCCTGCCGCTCCCAGTCGTCTGCAGGCGGCGGGCACGACGATGCGCAGGCGGGCATGAGACAGATGCATGAGACAGGTGCCCGGTATGTGTGCGGTGCAAGTAATTTACTCGGGAGAGGCAGCTGCCTGTATCGCCGCCTCTTCCGAGGCATCGGTACCGGCCACCACCGGCCACCGCCGCCAGCAGGACCAGCGCAGTACCGCACCCACGAGTATTTTGTGCTCGTCCAGCACATTCAGCTCGCGCAGCGCCTGATGCACCAACTCTGACAGCGCCGGGCTGCGGCAGGAGCACGTGCGGCAGCACGCAGCGGCTTTGGGACGGGGCGCGGCGAGCGGCGGCGCCGGTGGCAGGGCGCGGGCCAAGACCGTAGCGGCAGCCAGGAGCAGCGCCTGCGCAGACTGGAACCTGGAACCTGTGCAGCCAACGGCTCTGTAGCCCATGCCCGGCTGGCAGCAAACACTACCAGCCAACGACTTGCCCATGCGCTGAATACAGCACACACTGCCGGACCGCCCCTCCACTCACCTGACCATCGGGTCTCGCTGCGAGAAGAAGTCGCGGCCGATGGCAAACTTGCCCACCTGCAGGCCACAGGCGGCGGCAGGCCGGTTGTTTGAGCCTGCGCACCCGCAATCATCTGTGGGTCGCAGGCGCAGTGCAGGGCAGCACGGTGGTGGGCGGCAAGCGGACGCAGCACCCCCCGAAGAACAGAGGAGGCGGCGGCGCCCACCTTGACCTCCGCCGCAGCCAGGCCCGCCTCCTCACTGATCCTAAGCATGCCTGCCACCTTCTGCGGGCGGGCAGGGCCAGGCAGGGCAAGGCAGGGCCGTCATCACGGCGCCGCATGGTTCCACTTGGCGGCTTTGCGGCACGCACCCAGCGAGCTACCACGCCAGCTAACAGACACCGAAGGGCTAGGTAGAGCCGGCGTAACCGTAACGGCGGCGCGCGTTCCCAATCGGGGCTTATGCAGCGCGCACCCGGCCCAGCTATATATACCACCCAGCCCTGCACCCAGCCAGGACGACCGGGCCAGCATAGGCCTGGCTCCGCAGCCCCGCCCGGTACCGCCGGTACCGCCCCGCACGCGCCGCACCCTGTCTGTGTTGTCGTCGTCGGCAAAGTGCACGTAGGCGACCGGCGGGTACGGGAACTTAAGGCTGGGGTCGGTGGCGGGGAAGACGTCTTCCTCCAGGCCGATGGCCACTGCGGGGTGGGTGGAGGCGGGCATGGGAGGCGGGGTATGGGCGGGCAGGAGAGGCGGGGTACGTGAAGGTGGGGAGGGGAGGTAGAGGAGGGAGTGAGAGGTGGGGCAGGCAGGTGGGGGTGGGGATGAGAGGTGGGATGGACAGGTGGAGGTGGGAGTGAGGTGTGGGACGGACAGGTGGAGGTGGGATGGGCAGGTGGAGGTGGGGTTGCGAGGAAGGGCACCCCGGGCAGGCGGGAGCACGCAGCGTTGTGAGGGAGGGCAGGCAGGTGGTGGGCCAGCAGGGCAAGCGGCAGATGAGGAGGGCGCGCTGCGCTTGGCCCTTGGTACCGGGCAGCTGCCGGGCAGCTGCCCCAGAGGCCCTCACCCGGCATGATGCCGTCCATGGCCATGATGCCCGGCAGCCGCAGCGCCAGCGAGCCGCCCGCTGCACCGCCAGCAGGCGCAGCGACAAGGTTGGACTTACTACCTAGTACCAGGCGTGCATGTGCACTCCACCCACACAAGGACCCCCAGGCAAGCAGGCAGGTGAGCGAGCCGGCGGCGCTGGCGGCTGCCACAACCACGTCAAGCACGCGACACACACGGGTGCAGGGGCACCCCTGCAGCGCCTGCGCCTCACATGAGCAGCCGGTGAAGAAGAGCGGCAGGTCTGCCAGGGCGTGCCGCTTTCTGAAGGCCGCCACAATATCCCGCACAGCCACCGCATCTGTGCCCCAGCTGCAGGCAGGCAGGAAGGAGGTGCGGGGTGGCAGCCAGGTGTTGGTTGATGACAGCAGGGAGGGAGGAGGGGCGGCGGAGGTGGCGCATGGCAGCGGGAGGAGGCCGGGAGGCGGGCACGCGGCAGCAGCACAACGGCCAGAGCGCGGCCGCCGGCGGGTGGCGGCGAGGCAGCAGCAGTCGGCGGCTGGCGGCGTGCACCAGCCACCTGACTCGCGTTTTACCGGCCCAGCTGCCGGCCCCCTGGCATCCCGCCACCCACCTCCAGCACCTCCCCAGCGATCCCACGGTCCTGTTGAAGGAATTGATGGCCAGCAGGGCATAGCCGCGGGCCAGGGCCTGGCGGGAGATGGAGACGGCCTCGGGCATGCCTGCGCCATGCCAGGCAGGGGCACCAAGGCGCCAGCAAAAGGTTTGGGGGGGGCGGCCTGGGCGACAATGTGTGGGGGGGCACTCCATGCATGGCGGGTGTCCTTGTCTGATAGCCAGTGAACTCCTGCTTGGAGCCCCCGAGTGCAGGCTTCCGATCGGCAGCAGCCGCCACCCACCGATGCACTGCGGGCAGACTGAGGAGGGCGGCCAGAAGTCTTCGGCGTTGCGCCCGCAGCGGTGCAGCATGACCAGCAGGCCGACCGGGTCGCGCGGGATCTCAAAGTACCAGCGGCGCCCCGCAGTGGATCGGTTGACCGGCATCATCAGCGGCAGGCCGTCGGCGTTGAGGAAGGCGTCGGGGGGCAGCGGCTGGTCGGCGGCTGCGGCCGCGGCGGGCGCCAGCAATGCGACGAGCGCCGCCGCGGCTAGCAGTTTCGCCGCGTGGCCGAGGCATCTGGTCGCCAGCCACCGTGCTCCTAGCATGCTGCCTCGCCTCCCTGCACGGATTGGAAGCAGTGTGCGTGACCCAGCGCTCCGTGGCGGTGTTGGAGGGGTTGGCCTGGTTCGCACGGCGGAGGAGGTGAGGGGGGGGCGGCGGCGGCAGTGGTAGTCAGCGCGGCGAGGCTGCTGCGGTCATCACAGGCTCGTGAACATGCACAGAGTGCGGGGCGCGGAGTGTTCGCTGCGTGGGGCTGGGCACGCGGGGTGGACCAGCAAACTTGCTTTGAATGGAGAAGGTCGCGGGAGTGGCTGCGCAACCGTCTCACCCTTACAAAATCGCGATGTGGCACGCTGTGGCCTTTCTGGCCAGCCGCTGTCACCAACTGCACCGAGTCTTGGAGCCACACGTCTTGGATTCCAGTGCAGGCTGTGGCGTCGAATCCACGATGGCGCAACGACCGGGAGTTCAGGAACTGGAATTGAGTGGTATCTCGCTTCCTTCCTGCTGCCTCTCTAGGCGCCACATGGGCGCCGCCACCTAGATGCGCACGCCAGAGCATGGCAGCATGCTCCAATTGATCAATTGGACCGCTGCATTCTCCCCTCGACCTTAACAGCGTTCCGGACCTCACAGGCTATCAAGAACCCCCGCCATCATGCTGACAGGTGGGGCTGGCTCCAGCCGTAGCCGGTCTTGCGGCAGTGTACCGGGGAGTGGTAGCCCCCAGTTGCCCGCTGCTCAGCAGAAGTTTCAGCTCCTCCGAAACCCCAACATGCCCCGCCCGCCGTGATCAGTTTGCACTCACAGCCACGCTCCCTCCGGCGTGACTGTGAGTGCACAGCCACGCTCCCCGCGGCGGACTGCGAACCGGCCTAACTCTCCGCCCTGTTGCCCCATTGGACCTCGGCTGCCCTGCAATGCTCCACTCCTCGTGCCCTCCACGCCCTGCCCTGCCTGCAGACCACCAGGAGGCTGCCGCTGGCGAGGACTGGGAGCTGGTCAGCTCCAGCGACGACGGGCCGGCCGACGAGGCGGCGCTGGTGGCGACCTTCTTGCTGGCAGAGCCCAGCGCAGCTGGGCTGGCCGCTGCGGCGGGCAGGATTATCGGCGGCGGGGAGAGCGGCGATGAGGAGGGCGACAAGGGCGCCGCCGCCGCCGCACTGGCTGGCGCTCCCGCCCCCGGCAGCCCCGAGCTCGCGCAGCTGCTGCTCCTGACGGCGGCGCCGGCGCCGGCGCCGGAGGGCGGCGCCACGGCCGAGCACGCCGCGCTGCTGCCGGCGGCGGCAGGCACGGGCCCTGGCGCAGGCGCCTTTGGTGCAGCACAGCGTGTGGCAGCGGAGGCTGCTGAGGTGGCAGCAACCTCGGAGGTGTTCCGCAGCCGCCTGGCCGCCCTGCCGCCCGCCCAGGGCGCTCGCGCGGGCGCCAGCAGCGCGGCAGCCGAGCGTGCGCCGCCCCCACAGCAGGCTGCTAGGCCTCCTGCCAGGTGCGCTGCGCTGCCGCATTGGTATCATGGCCCTCCATGACGCTCGCCTGTGTCTCTGCCATGGTTCTGCCACTGCCCCAGCCTTGTGCCCCAGACAGGCTGTGCTCCCGCAAGCCTTCCCCTAGGGCTGGAACCCCCTCCTGACTTGGAACCCCCTCACCCGCCTCCCGCAGCGTGACGCTGCGCGTGGTGCGCGCCGACGAGCAGGAGGCGATGCTGAGGGCGGTGGCGGAGATGGAGAGGAGGTGGGCGCGGCTGCCCGAGGCTGCGGGGAGGCAGGGAGGCAGGCAGGGGCCGCGCCTGCTGCTCAGCGGGGCAGCAGGATCACCGGGGCCCTGTTCCGTTCAAAGTGATTACTACAAACTAATACTAGAACTTATAGTATATAATTAGTACAAACTAATTGGCTGCGTTTGGCGTCCCCCGCCCCGGGCCCTACCTGCCACACCTGCCACTGCCTGCCGCCTCCCCGCCGCTGCAGGTCGTCGCAGCGTGAGCAGGAGCTGGCGCTGGCGCGCATCCGCCTGACCAGCGCGCAGGTGGGGCGCCCGGCTGCTTCGCTTCGGCTTCCGTACTGGGCAGTACCCGGTGCCCTGGTCAGCAGCCGCGCACAAACGCACGCCGTGGGCCGCGCCATTGCGCGGCTGGTGTGCCCTGGCACCACGGCAGCCGCCTCATGCACCCGCCGCCTGGCCTGCTCGCTGTATAATGCGTGCCGTGGCCTGGGGTGCCCCCGCAGGCGGCGCTGGCCCAGGAGTCGCGCGAGGCGCACCGCTTCCGCCGCATCGCCATGGTGGCCTGCTCCGTGTGGTGAGGGCGGTACACGTGGCGGGCGGTACCGACTTTCGTTTTGGTTTAGGGTGTCGTGTCGGGCTGAGGGCCGCCGCTTGGCTTCGCCTGCTGCTGCCCAAGCTGGCAGCTCAGATGCGCTTTGCCAGCCTGCAAACTGTGCCGCTGCTCCAGCTTTGCACACGCTCGCCGCTGACTGCCACTGCCTACTTCCCCACCCCCCCATCCCCCGCTGCAGCGCCTTCCTGGGGCTCAAGGCGCTGCTGGGCGGGCCGCTGCGCCAAGCTGGCGTGGCAGCCGCCGGCGCCGTACAGCCGGCAGCGGCGGCAGCCCGCGGGGTGGGCCTGACGGCCCACTCGGTACATGAGCCGTGTGCCGCTGCGGCGGCGGCGGCGCGGGAGCTGGAGGGCAGGGTGGCGGTGCTGGTGGAGCCGCTGGTGCCGGGCCTGGCTGGCTGAGGCTGCCGCTGCCAGGGGCGGCAGCTTTGAGGAAGCCGCGTTTTGAGCAACGGCCAGGGCTGTTTCGGCAGCCCTCTGCGGTGTTGAGAGGTAGCGGTTTCAGCAGCCCCCTGCGGCGAGGCGACAGCGCTGCCACGTAGAGGCAGGAGCGCCACACAGCCGATGTGGATGATGCGGCGGCTAGCAGTCCGCGAACGAATACATATACAGCGATGAACCAGCAGCGACCCCAGGCGACTTCTTTCTGCCCTGCCGTGTTGCTCAGCTCTGTCACATGTGTCTATATGGAGGCCGCCAGGGCCCTCCAAACCGCCGATGATCGGGCCGAGCGATCATTCTTTTGGAACTTGATGCATGCCATGTGTTTTGCTCCCACCTGTACCCTTGCATCCACCGTATGCCGGTGTCGACACCCTACTAGGCAGTACCTGCCCGCCTGGGAGGCAACCCAGTTGGCCAGCCCATACCCTCTCTACCTCATCCCCTCTTTGCCTCATCCGGTGGAGTCATTTTGCGATCACCGCTTCTTCACAGCACAACCCTAAACCTAAATGCATGCAGTGTAACTCCAATGTACAGCTATGCATCCAGGGCAGACCGGCACATGGTGTGGCCTTGCATGCATGCAGCCTCTCTTTCAGCACAGCTGGCGCTGCAGCATGGCCAGGCCAGAGGTTCTGCTGGGGATCCTGTCTGGGGGGCTGCATCGCATTGGCAGCCGACATGGGCAGCAGAGTGCAGTGCAGCTCTTTGATGCGCGCATTGGCGGTGGCGGCATGGCAGCGGTATGTCCAACTGTCCCGCCCGAAGGAAGGAAATCAGCCGGAGGGGCAGGGTGCGAGATATAGGGCCTTACAATTATCAGAGAGGGGAGGCGTTCGACGTGCCACCGGGGGGAGGACTAGCGAAAACACAGTGCATGCTAGTGATGCAGCTGACTGGCTGCCGGTGCAGACCACACACCTGCGAGGGAGTAGAGGGGCGTGCAGGGGACGGCCGGGTTGGTAGCCGCAAGGCACGAGCTGACTGGCTGCACAGCTGTGGAACCCCCGGTGGCGGTGTCGTGCCCTGCAAGGGCGGGAGGCGGCTGAAATGCGGAGGAGTGGTGAAGAAAGCATGGGCATACACGGGCTCACGAAGAGCTCCCCATGTTCATCCTGCAACAAGTCTCGGGGCAGGGGCGACAGAGTCAGCGATGCCGCATGCACCGGCCCGCAAGGCCGTGAGGCACTGTCCCGCATGGATTCCATGCATGCAATGCACGCAAAACACCACAAATCTGTGGTGCCATAGCGGGATAGGAGCCAGATGGTCGCCGAGGAGTTCAAGGAGGGCTGGGGCGGCATGGCAGCGGGCGCAGCAGGCGACACGTGGTGGCATGGCAGGGCGCTGGCTTCTTAAACCGTGTGTTGCTGCCTTCTCCCTCCCCTCCCGACTCCTGTTCTTCTCACACATCGGCCACCTCTCACCATGCCTTTGGTGCTCGCGGTGCACACCATCGCGTCGGTCCCCTCTTCGACGGTTCCATTTGCGGTGATCCTGCTGCAAGATCATATATCCAACAGGAAGGTGCCTGTGGACCTCAAGTGCAGGCAGGCAAGTCGGCCATGAGTTCAAGTTGGCGTCCTCGGGCTCCCCGCGCCTTGCTGTCGCGCGCTTCTGGCCTTTCACCGCGCGCCACCCATCTGGGGCAGCTCAGCCGGGCCGGGGAGGGTCAGCAGCAAACACGCTAAGCGATCTCTGCCCTCCCCCTGCAGCTCATCCCCTCCTCGGGCGCCACCAGCACCAGCCTGTGGGATGTGAGCGACCCGGCGGAGCTGCAGAGGTGGCTGGACGAGGTGCGCCCGGGGGGTCCAAGGCGTCCCGCCCGCCGCCGCCGCTGCGCTCCCAGCTTTGACCGCCGCCCGCCCTTTCCTCCCACGCAGGCCATCAACGTGGACGTCAACCACACCGTGTACGAGGTGCAGGAGGAGTTTGCCATCGGGCTGGGCGAGGTGGTGCGCACGCGGGCAGCAGAGAAGGCACGCACCCGCCCGCCGCCTCCAGTGCCGCTCGCCGCCGCCGGCCCTGGGCCCGCCGCCGCCGCCTGCACCAGCCCGCCGCCCCTCCCTCGCTGCAAGAGGCAGCGCAGAGTCGCGATGATGGCGCCCTTTCACGATCCCACCAGCCGGGTGGCGGGCGAGGCCAGCCCACCCATCACCCCGCCCGCCCTGCACCCCCACCCGCTGATCGATCCCGCTGGTACTCCCGCCGTTCGGTACCGCACCGCAGGTGGCGGAGGGCACTAAGGACGTGGCGCAGAAGACGGGGCGCGCGCTGGGGGCGGCCGCCACCACCGTGGGCCAGCAGGCGATTGAGCTGGACCACAAGCTGCGGCTGAGCGAGCGCGCGACGGCGGCGGGGGCGGCGATCAAGGAGAGCGCGGTGGGGCGCAGCGCGGGGGCGGCCTTTGGCCGCGTCGGCTCCGCCGTGTCGGCCAGCACCAAGAAAGTGTTCGAGAACGACAAGGTGGGCCTTGTTGGTGTTTCCATGAGGGCGGGGGGTGGCACGGGGTGCGGGCGTGGCGGGCTGTGCTGTGTGTGCTGGTGGGGCGGTTGGGCTGGTGGGCGGGGTGTACGGTGTTCAGCAGCCGCATGCGGGGTCGGTTCCCGGGCCCCCTAGGGCCTAGATGGGCGTGCAGTTTGGGTGTTCGGTTGGCGCATGCCAAGGCGCCACGTCAGCAGCGCCGCCACGTCAGCAGCGCCGCCGCGTGTGCCCATGCGTCGCTGAGGCCGCACCCCCGCCGCCGCTCCGACGCATGCACGCCACGGGCTTCCCTCCGCGCGCCGCTGCCTTCGGCGGCAGGTGCACAGCAGGGTGCTAGAGGTGGGCCGGCTAGGCCTCTGCAACAGGCCGCACGCGCCGCTGCGCCTCATTGCCGGCACCTCTCAGCAGGCCACGCTCTGCTGGCGCCTTTCTGCCGGCCCACACTCTGCCTGCCCACGGCCCTTTGGCCCAAGCCGCCCGTCCCGCCAGCCCACCCGCCTGCAATGCAGCGCACGCCGCTGCCCGCTTGCCGAAAACGGCCGCCCACACTCCGCAGCCCGCCGCAGCCACTGCTGCCGCAGCCACTGCCCACGCGAGCCACCGCCACTCGGCCCCACCAGCTGCTCGCTCCCTCGCCGCTCACCCCGCAATGCCTCCTCTCGGCCCCACCGCCGCCCTCCTCGCCCCGCCGCCCAACGCCCGCAGGTGCAATCTGCCTCCACCGCCGTCAGCGGCTCGTTCAAGAAGCTGGGGGCTAGCCTGAGCAGCCTGACGGGGCGGCGCGGGTCGGGCGGCGCCGGCGAGGGCGGCCCCGGGGAGCACACGCCGCAGGTGGGCGGCGGCGGGGCGGTGGCGGCGGCGGCGGCGAATGCGCTTGAGTGTGGTGGTGTGTGTGTGCGCTTCTGCTGCTGCTTTTGTTGTGGGTATGTGGGTGTGGTGTGGGTGTTTGTGGGCCAGGGGCATGCAGCAGAGGATGTGGTTTGTGGGGCTGGGGCTGTGTGCGTTGGCAGGGCGGCGTGGGGCTGGCCTCTGCCTCTTAAAGACTGCCCGGCGCGCCTCCTGCGCACCCCTGCGCCCGCCTGCCGGCAGTTTGTGCAGGACGGCGGCGACGGCTACGAGCCGCCCGCCGGCCAGCCGCCCTACGCCCCTCCCGCCGACGTGGGCGGCATGAGGAACCCGGCTGCGGCAGGTGCGCCTCTGCCTGCGCCTGCGCCTGGGGCTGTGTGGGCTGTGTGGGCTGTGTGGGTTGTGGGCAGCGGGCTCTCTCCCCTTCAGCCTCCCTGCTCTGTAGGAGAGGCCACGCCGCAGCGTGTGCATGTGCCTGCCTGCGCCTGCCGACGTGTGTTGGCACCTGCAGCCGAGGGCGCGGCAGAGGCGTGCCGTGCGGGAGACCAGCTCCCTCCTTATGCCCCCTGTGCCTGCCCCTGCAGCGGGCGCGCCGGCGCCCGTGGCGGCGGCGCCCCCGGCGCCCTCCGCGGTGGCGGCGGCGGAGCAGCAGCTGGGGGGCGGCCCCAAGTTCACGCTGGACGATGCCGAGTCCAAGCAGCCCTGATTGGCGGCCCTGATTGGGGCGAGACCAAGGCAATAGCAGCATTCCTAAGCGGTCCCAACCCCGCAGGGCCGCCCGTACAAGCGCTGAGCCTGCCGGCCGCCGGCGCGGTGCGGCGGCTCGTTCTGTAGCAGCGCCATCCCCACACCACTTGCCCGTTTCCCTGCTTCTTCCCTGCTTCTCTCCCTCCTTTCTTCGAATGCCAGCTGTGCTTGACCCTTTGCAACCTTTCCTCAGTTACCAGGGGCCGGGCGAATGCGCCAGTGAGGGGATGTGACCTGCAGCCGCTCATGGGCCTCGGCTGCCCTGCCCTGCTGCCTCCCTGGCCGGCGGCTGTGTGGGAGGCGAGCGTGGCGGCCCGTGAAGCCCCTTCCCCGAGCCCTAGCGCTGACCGCAAAAGCGTCGGCGAAGTGTGTGGCAGGGGGAGGGGGTTCATGAGCTTCTGCATCCCTCCTCCACCTCCCTTGCACGCTGCTAGGCCTACACCCCACCTTCCCATGCCTTGGGCATTCAATCGTCTGCAGAGAGCCCTGTCATCCACAGTCTTCATGTTTTGAAATGGCTGTGCTGTTGGCAGCCATGCACCGAACGGAAGCCACAGCATGGCCGCGCTGTCGTGCAGGCGCTGGGGGGCAGGAGATGAGCAGGCACCGGCGGCCTGGCCAGCAGTGGCACGATCCCTCCTTGCAGCGGGGCCAGCTGCACAGGCGCAGGGATGGGGAGTTGCACAGGCGCAGGGATGGGGAGTTGCAGCGGGGTGGCCCTGCTGTGACTCAGCCCAGCACGACGCACTGGGCCTGCTTGTGCCCCTCCACGAGCTCAGAGCAACGCGGGCTCCAACACGCAGCCAGAAGCGAGCGAGAGGCACACCTGGATGGGGTGCGGCTGCTCTCGCCTCGAGGTGCTCGTCTCGTTCCCCCAGGTGAACCTCTTGGCATCAGATGGCAGCAGAAGGCACTGCTGGGAGGAGCACCCTGCATGACTGCCAGCAGCCTGCACGTGCAGGGTCTATTTGAAACTCTCCCAAAGCTGGGTCCCAATACCACCCCCGCTGCCCAGACTGGGCCGCTGCCGCCAACCGCCCTCCCGCCTGCGACCCCGCAGCAGGGCTATCTGGTTGACTGTGTGTTATGAACCAGGTCGACCAGATCAATTACGCAGCTAGGGTTGGGAACGAGGCAGCGGTGCGGCAGCTGCTGGCGGCAGGCGCTCGGGCAGACCAACCCGACGGGTACGGCTGGCTGCCGCTGCACTCCGCCAGCCGCTACGGCCATGAAGGGGTGGTGCGGCTGCTGCTGGAGGCTGCCCCTGACGCAGCCATGGCAGCGGACACTGGGGGCTTCACGCCGCTGCACCACGCTGCTGGCGCCAGCAGCTCCGGCGCTGGGAATTATGAAATAGTGCATCTGCTGCTGGAGGCGGCACCCACCGCAGCGTTGATGCTCAACATGATCAAGGAGGCCCCCATCCATATAGCCGCCCTCCGAAACAACACGGCACCCGTGCAGCTGCTGCTGGAGGCGGCACCAGAGGTGGCTTATGCTCAAGATGCTGCTGGCCGCACGCCATTGCAATGGGGGCTGAGCTACTGCTTCGAACGCCCCTCAGAGCAAGTCATGGAGACAGCTCGTTGCCTGCTGCGGGCGGCGCCAGCGATGCAGCCAGCCTTGGGCATCCTGCTGCAGCACGGCCGGCGCTCTGCCACCCTCTTCGCCAACCTGGTGGCCCACCTACCGCTGAGCCAGGAGCAGTGGCGCTCGATTCCTGCGCCCTGCCCCGACCTGGCTCGAGCGCTGCCAGCCGTCCTGCAGCGCTCGGCGGCCGAGGCTGGGTGGCTGGTGGGGCGGCTGTATCAGTACCAGCGCAAGCGTCTGCGGGCAGCGGCGCTCAGCCTGGCGCGGGCACAGCAGCAGAACAGCGCCGTGCTGCCGGCAGAGCTGAGCGGGCGCATCCTGGCGCTGTCTGCTGGACGCCTGGCCCCCCTGCAGTAGCTGAGCGCCGCGATAGGCGGCGGCATCGCATCTGCACATGCCTAAGAATCACCATGTGGCGGGATTCCCGCCGCGGGAACCGCTCCTGTACAGCTCTCATGTTCTGGACTGGTCATTTTGCTGTTGGCAACCGCCTTTAAACGTTTAGTCGGTGTAAAGAATAGAACGCCACAGCTTGGTGCAGACGCTGGGAGGTGGGTAGATGAGCAGGCTCGGGCGGCCTGGCCGGCACTAGCACCATCCTTGCCGGGGGTGCATAGGCCTCTGCTGCCCTCCCTCCCCACCTCATTCGGACGCGGCTGGGTGTGGGGCGAGCGTGGCGCGCCGTGAAGCCCCTCCCCCTCACCCCAGCGGTGGCGGCAGCGCTGGCGGCGGCAGCGGTGGCGGGAGCGTGTGCATCGGATTGCAGTAAGAAAGCAAGAACACGTGAATATCTGTGAGAAAGGTGCTGGGTAGGCATGTCGGAAAATAGGAGAGACGAATATAGGAGAGAAGAATGGTGTACAGGCATTGAGTTTCTTCCAAGAGTGGGGATCTTTGAAATCAAACAGAGGGCGCAGGGAGCGCTGCTGCGGCGGAGCTACTGCTGCGCCTGCTGCACCCCGGGCGTCCACCGCAGCTCCAGCCTGCCGCCGCTCGGCAGCACCGCGGCGGCGCTGGCGGCCGCCGCCGGGCACTCCACAGCGTGGTCCTCGGCGACGGCGGCGGCGGCTGGGACAACCTGCAGCAGGGGCCCCAAGCAGCCGCTGTGAGCCGGCCCGCCGTCGGCCTCAGCTGCCGCATAGCAACCTCTCAATGAAACTGAAGCTCAGGTGACCATGCACCCTTCAAGCTTTAGGCGAGTATTATCAAGCTTCAGGGCGAAACCCAACGGTGTACTGCAAGCTTCGCTGCCCAGCTTGCCTGCAGGTGCCGGCTGAGGCCGAGGGCCTGGAGGAAGGAGGAAAGCGCGGAAGAGACAGCCGCCACATCCGCCGCGCCGAGCTGCGCCTGCTGCTGCGCAGCCTCCTGCACCGCCTCCTCCTTGTCTGCAGGGCTCCGCTGCACCTCCCCAGCGGGTGCCAGTGCGGTCGCAGCTGGTATCGCGGTCGCATCTGGTACCGCTGGCGCTGGTACAGGATCCGGCCCAGGCGCCGGCTGGCTGCCAGAGTGGTTGCCGCCAGCGCCGCCGCAGGAATCAGGCGTGCGCTCCGCAGCCGGCGGCTGGGCTGCCTCTGGCGGCGTTGCAGGCTGCAGCTCGTGCTGCCATTCCTGCGGCTGCTTGGCAGGCGCAGGCCTGGGGGCCGTCGCCGCCGCCGCCTCCGCCGCCGCAGCCAGCGTGGGCGCGGCAGGCGCCAGCATGGCAGCCTGCGGGCGGGCAGGAGATGCGGCGCCGCTGCTGCGTCCAGAGCTGCGGCCGCTTGTGCTGCTGCTGCCTGGCACAGAGGCGGCCTCGCCGGCGGCCACCACACCCCCGGCGCCAGCAGCAGCAGCAGCCACACCGCGCTGCGGCAGCGGCTGCCTCTTGCCGCTGGGGTTGGGCTGCGGCGGCAGGCGGCGCACGTGGGAAGCTCCCCGGAAGTTGGCCAGGCTGGTCAGTACCGTCACGGGGCGGTACGTCAGCGACGCCCTCGCAGCATACTCCGCCGCAGCGCCGTCGGCGCCTGCTGCTGCTGCTCCTGCTCCTGCTCCTGCTGCTCCTCCTGCTGCCGCCGGCGCTGGCGCGGGCAGCAGGCCTCCGGTCGCAGCGGGCAGGAGCCCCGCAGCTGCCGCCGCGCCGGGCGCCACCAGCTCAGCCGCGCGTGCCGGCAGCAGGAAGCGGCTGCAGCTGGGCGGCAGGGAGGTGAGCAGCGGGCCGGACGCCAGGCCAGCAAACGCCGGCGACAGCAGGCTGCTGAGCAGCAACTGCTGCTGCACCTCGGCATCCGGCCCCTCCTGCGCCTGCTGCTCGCCTGCCGCCGCCGCCGCCTGCTGCGGCAGCGGCGCCTGCTGCTGCTGCGCCTGCTGCTGCTCCACCAGCTGGAGCAGCTGCTGCAGCTGGGACTGGACCTCTGCCTGCTGCGCCTCGCCCTCCTGCTGCAGCTGCCCTGCATCCGGCTGCGGCGGTTGTGGCTGCGGCGGCTGTTGGGGCTGCTGGGGCTGCTGGGGCTGCCCCAGGTCCAGCGGCAGGCCGACGGTGGAGGCGAGCGCCTGAACCAGGCCCCTGCTGAGCTTGGTGGCGCGGGGCGGCAGGCGCGGCGCCGGAGACGCGGCGGCAGGCGCAGCCCGCGGCCGCTCCCCGGCCTCCACCTCCTGCTGCTCCTGCCTCTGCCGCCTCTGCTGCTGATGCCGCTGCTCCTCATCAGATGGCTGCTGCAGGTCTGTGTCACCTGCAGAGGTAGCCTGCGCTGCAATGCCTGCGGAGGTTGCTGCCGATCCGCCGTCCTCCTCTGCCGCCGGCAGCGGTGCAGACTCATCGGCAGCGCCAGGCTGCCCCTGCTGCCGCGTCCCCGCTGCATCCGCCTGCTGCGGCAGCGGCGGCTGCAGCGGCGCATCTGCGGGGGCCGGCTGCAGCTTGGGCTGCGCCTCCTCGGGCTGCGCCTGCGCCTGCTGCTTGGCCTTTTTCTTCTTGCCCTTGCTGCCGCCGCCGGCCACGGCGCCGGCGCCTTTGCCGCCCGCCTTGCCGTTGGCGGCGGCGGCGCCGCCTCCGCTCGACTCAATAAAATCTAGAAGCTCTTCCAGGGACCGCTCATCCTGCTCCTGCTGCTGCTGCTGCTGCTGCTGCTGCTGCCGCAGCTGCTGCAGCTGCTGCTCGCCGGCCGCGGCGGCGGCCGCGGCGCCGCCCTCGCCGCCGCCCGGCAGCGGCGGCGGCTGCCCCGGCGCGGCCGCGCCCAGTTGCTGCCGCCGCTGCTGCAGCTCCTTGCGCCGCTTGGCATACAGGCGGTTGAGCATCCGCACACGTGGGTCGGGCGCGCCTGCATAGCAAGCACAGCATGGTACGGGACAGGGTGGCGGTGATGCTCGGCCGCCGGGACCATACGGCAGAAACACCCTGCCCGTTCGCAAGCTTGCCCCAGAGCGAGCATCCCGATCAGATGAGGCAGCATCACCACTTGCGGCCACCCCCCACCCCACCACCCTGCCCTGTCCCATCAGCCCAAGGCGGGCCCGCTGCTGCAGGCGGCCCCAGCAGCCCCGAAACAGTCCACCCGGCCTGCCGCAGCAGCAGCGGGCGGCGGCCGCTCCGGGATGGTCCAGCCCCACCTCCCGCCAGCGCCGCTATCGGCTCCAGCTTCTCCTCTTCACTAAGGTCGTCGGGCAGGCGGAAGGCCTCCCTGATCTGCTCCGCGCTCTTGCCCTCAATCAGGCGCGCAATGGCGCGGGAGGCTGCAGGGGCAGGGAGGGGGAGGAGGGGGCGCGCGCAGGGGCGGGGGCGCGGTGTGGTGCGGCACGGCCGGCGGGACGCAGGGTCGGGCGTGGGACGCAGGGAGCGGGGCGCAGGCAGGCCGGCAGACGGGCGGGCAGCCCAACTGCATCCGTCAGGCAAAGCAGGCAAGCGAGGCGAGCCGCCAGCAGGCAAGCCCGGCGCAGCCCGGCAGGCAGGCAGGCAGGCAGGCGGGCAGGCAGGAGGGTGGGCAGGCAACCCCACGCCCAAGGCAGCGGCCCGCCAGGCGGGCGGCCCACGCAGGCCCGCCAGGCAAAGCAGCCGCGCTAGCCCCCAGGCAGCAGGCAGGCAGGCGGGCAGGCGGGCGGGCAGCCCACCCAGGTCTACCAGCCCCCGCATCTCCAGGCAGTCAGCCGCAGACGTGAGGTCGCACAGCTGTCCCGAGTCGCGGCGGATGAAGCGGTCGTCAAACAGGCGCCGCTCCTGCAGGCAGGCAGGCAGGTGGGCAGGCAGGTGGGCAGGCAGGCAGGTAAATAGGCATGCAGGCAGGCAGGCAGGCAGGCAGGCAGGCAGGCGGGCAGGCAACCCGGCAGGCAGGTGGGCGGCAGGCAGGCAGGCGCTGAGCGGGTTCGGGCAGGCAGGCAGCCATGCGGGCGGGCGGGCAGCGGGACGGGGCGCTCAGGAGGCGCCCAGGCAGGCAGGCAGGCGGGGCGGGCGGGCGGGGCAGCGCCGCTGTGCAGGTGGCGGCGCGGCTGTGCGGGCAAGCCGCGCCCGGCCACCCGCCGCGGCTGGCTGGCTGGGCTAGGGGCCGTACCTTGTCGGAGCGGCCCGGCACGGCGTGGAAAGCGCAGTACTCCTCCACCATCTCCCAGGCGGCGGCGCTGACCTGCAGGCGGGGCGCCGCAATCGAGGGCCTGAGGGACTGGCAGTGGGGTGAAGGGTTAAGGGTCGGCTGCTAGGGTTGAGGGTGGGTAGGCTGTCAGGGCGGGTAGGCTGTCAGGTGCCGAGCGGCGGCGGCCGCCCAGGCATGGCGCACAGAAGCAGCAGCAGGCGCTGTGCTGGCCCCGTCGGGTCGAACTGGGCCGAGAGGCGGCGGCCGCCTGAAGCCCCCGCCGCCAACCAGCCAGCCACGCACACAGCGGGATCCTGCCGGCTGCCTCCTGCCCTTCCCAGCCACGCCCCGCCAGCCAGCCAGCCGGCTGCCCCCTTGGCTGTCCCCAGCCAGCCTGCCGGCTGCCTCCCTCCCTGGGCACCGGGGCACCGCACCTGCTTGGGCAGCGTGACGGGCGGGTTGCCGGGCAGGCCGTAGCCATTCTGCACCACCTCCCTTTGTATGTATGGGCTCATCATGGCAAGGTCTTTGCCCACCACCATGCCCGGCTCCTCCTCGCCAGCTGGCACGCTGAGCTGGCCGCCAGCCTGGCCGCCAGCCTGGCATTCGCTGCCGCTGCTGGGCACGAGGGCGCTGCTGCTGCTGGGACCGACATCGCCGGTGGAGGCAGCAGCAGCGGCCGAGGTGCCGCCGCCGCCGCCGCCGGTCACCTGCTGCCGCTCCTCGGCGCCGTTGGCGGCGGCAGCGGCGGCGTCCACGGTGGGCTGCTGCCCCGCGGCACCATCGGCACTGCTGCTGGCGTCGGGGCTGGTGGGCTGCTGGGTGGGCTGCTGGGAGCCACCTCTGCTGGCTCTGCCTGCATGCGGCGCAGGCGCACCAGGCGCCGCGCCGGCCGCTGCCGCCTCCGCTGCGCTGCTCCTGGGCGCGGTGCTCGGTCCCTCGGTCCGGCCTGCTGCCTTGCGAGGCGCGACGTCCGCCAGGCTAGCCAGCAGCGCCGCCGCTTGAGGCGCGGCGCGGAAGCTGGCTGCCGCCGCCAGCAGCTCCTCGGCCAGCCGGCACTGCTCTGCCGCCTGCGCCGCCGCCGTGGACGCCAGCTGGCTGGCCCCGCCCCCGGCCGCCCCCGGCTGCTGCTGCTGCTGCTGCTGGGCCAGCGGCGGCGCAGGCAGGGCCAGCCGTGGCTGCTGTTGCGCTGCCGCGGAGCCGGCTGCCGCCGTGGCCTGCAGCTGGTCGGCGGCGGTGGCCAGCCGCACTCGGATCCACAGCGCCTCGCTTGCCGCGGCTGCGTTCTTCTCCCGCAGCTTCTGCAACTGCTCATTCATCTGAGTGAGCAGGCCCGTGGCCTGCAAGGAAGAGCAGGGGGCAGGGGTAAAGTGTGCAGCGGCGAGTGTGCAGCGGCCCGGCGGCGGCGGCGGGCGGCGGCGATGGGCGGCCGCGGGAGCTGGCACCGCGCTCCCACCCACAGCCTGCGCTCGCAGCCTGCGCGTGATGCATGCCGTGCGTGTGCAGCTGCTCCAACACACCGCAGGCGGCGAGAAGGCCGGCGAAACATTCCCATTCCACACCTTGCGCGTCAGTTTTCTAATATCAGAGGCTAAGGCCATCTGGTCGGGTCTGTCCGCCATCGAGCCCAGCCCCGGCACCTGAGCCACGGTGCAGTCGGCCAGCCCAGCCCCTCTCTACGCCTTCGCCTGATGAAATGGGTCCACACCTTCCGCCGATCGATCGAAAGAAAGCGGTGACCGACGCTGCTAGTCATGTCGCAGCCACAGCATGGGCGGCAGCATGGCAGCGTTCCGCTCGCCGCCATTGGATTGGGGTGGGGCGTGATCTTATGGCATTACATCTCAGCTTCCTAACAATCAGGCCATCCTCATAAGCACAGGTGCATAGCAGGAAAGAGACCACCTGCTAGTGCCTGCTCAGGTGCCTGGCCTGCTGATGGCCTGGAAAACTTGGTCCTCGGAGATGAATGGAAACCCAACTCCTCGCAGCAAGCGGGTTACAGCAGCACATCTGTTCAGGGGCCATTTGCTGTACATGTGCGGGCACGGCGCTGGCAACCCGCAGTCGAAGCAGGTGTCGCGCTAGGATGCCGCTGCGTCGCTCGGCCCAGCTGCAACGCCGCCGTGCGCAGCCTACTGACGCGGCGCCTGTCGTGCCAGTCTGCTCACTGCCGTCAAGCGCTCAGAACTGCCGACAGCGCAGGCGCCAGCTGGGGCCAGCGCACCCTACGTGCTGCCACGGGCGCCCAGGCTGCCGGCGTGCTTGGCAGGCGGGCAGCTTGGTCCTCATCCACCGCCGGGGTGTCCACACTCACTGTGTGCAGGGCAAGGAGTAGGCTGGTCAAGCCAGAAGGCCTGCCACAGGGCACAAGCAACACGCATGCAAGCTCAGCTGCGCAGTACAGGCAGCTGTGCCCGCCATGCCCAACCAACTCATGCTGCTGCATCTGGGCCGGCAGCTCCGCGGCCTGCAGCTGCTCGGCCTGCTGGGCTGCAGCAGCGTGCGGTCCCAGCGTCGGCACCTGCTCCGCCGGGCTTGCAGCATCTGCTGCACCGCCTGGCTGGTCGCCCGCCCGCCTTTTGCCCCGCGTCAGCGGCTTCCACGGCCTGCTGCTGGCCCTCGTCGTTAGGGAACAGCTCACGCTGAGCCTCTCCGCTGTTTGTGCTGCTGTCGCTGCTGTCGCTGGCGTCGCTGGCGTATCCCAAAAAGCGCCGGAGGCGGCCCGCGCGGCGCCGTTCGCGCTCGTCCATATCGCGCAGCGCCGCCGTCACTTCGCGTGCCTCTGCCTCAACCCGAGCAAGCTGCGCAGCAACTACCGCAACCTGAGCTGCACAGATGTCAGGCTGCCCCAGCTGCAGCACCACCTGTTCCGCAATCCCCTGCAGCTCAGTAAGCCTGGCCATCAGGGCAGCCCGCTCCTGCCGCTTCTGGTCTCGCGCGTCGGCCATGAGCTCACGGCGCAGCTGGCGCAGCGAGGGCCTCCGGCAAGCGGGATAGCGGCGCCAAGGAGCAGACTAACTCTTGCCTGCGGGCAGCACGCTTGAGAGACGTCCGCCCAGAGGCGGCGCTTCTTGCGGCGGCGCACGCCTTGGCCGACGCCTGGCTCTTGGCAGGGCCATACGCCTCCAACGGGGTCGCACTTACGGTTTGTAATTAACCTCAGTGCGCACGGTGGCCCAGCCGTGATTCTCGGGCCGGTTCTCGTCGACCGCCGGCAGCGCCCCAGGTGGCTGACGGTTGCGTGGGAACACACCCATGCGGTGTGGAGTGCGGGGGGCGGTGCGGAGGTGGTTTTTGAGTTTGCACTTGCGCCGACTTGGCGACAGCGCACAGCAGACAGGCTCCAGAGCTCTGCAGAGCGGCAGGCTTCAGAGCGGCGACGGCAGAATTTGTCTCTGCCTTTGCGCAAGGCGCCTAGTCGGCGGCGCCAGACGACGTGCTGGCGGCGCTGGCGGCGGTGGAGGCGGCCCACGCACAGTCGCCGCGAGGGCAAGGTGAGCGCGGCTGCGACCTCAAACCCAGCTGCTGCAGTGCCTCTGATAAGTCCTGATGGCAAGGTGCCAGGGGCTCACGGCGCACCCGCAGCTGCCAGCACCGCCGCCGCCGAAGCAACCTGCGCCGCCGCTGCATCTGCCCGCGCCTGCCCCGACCGGCACCTGGCGCCTCGTTTCTCGTCGCCCTCGCCCATCAATCCGGGGGAGTACATCCCCGAGCTGGAGGATGCCGCTACTGACGTGAAAGCAGGTGTGCTTGCGGCGGCAGCACTTTGCATGCAACACCCGCCACTGCCACCCCTCACACACCCACCTCTCCCCCACAGGCACCATCGACCTCGTGTGGGAGGTGGGTCGCTGCACAATGCGTTCAAGGGGCGCTGTGCCCTCGAACAGGGTGCGCGCCGGGGCGGCATGCTGGCGTGGCCGCGCGGGGGCCGCCATGCGCTGCCGGCCTGCGGCGTGGCACCCCAGCCTGCCTGCAGGGATGTGTGCCCGCTCCACTCCCCGCCCGCCCTGGCCCACGCCTGCCTGCCCCACCGCATGCAGCGGCCCGCTGCACCTCCGCCGACGCTGAGCGCTTTGCTGGGCAGGACGGGGCTGCCAGACAGCGGGCGGTGGGGCTTGCTGCACCGATTGACTGTGAAGGGGACAACCCTGCAGCTCTTCCTACCTGGGCCTGTGATTCAGAAGGTGCTCCACGACAGCTGCAGCTGTGTGATACTTTCAGATAGCCAGGCCACCTCCAGAGGCACAGGTGCCGAACAGGGAAGGGATCACCTGGCAGAGCCTGCTTACATGGCGGCGGCGCCCCCCACGCATGCGTGCCGCCACATGAGCCTGTCCCGGAGCTCTTCACACACAGTGTGTGTGTGTTTTACATGCTCCTCACCAGGGCCAGCGTGTGGTCCAGCCCGCAGGCCAGCCCCACTATCTGCTCCCCATCCAAATCCGGCACCAGCTCCGGAAAGTGGGAGTCCTCCAGCTGGCCCGTGCCGAGCCGCCCATTGGCCGCGCTGCCCCAACTGCATGGCGAGGACAGGAAGGGCTGTTGCTCCTCTGGGGGAGCGCGCAGCTATCCACACTCCCGAAGCCTGCCCATGCGTCATGTATCGCTGCGCCGCAACCGTTGCACCCTGCCCCAGGCAGGCGCCCCGCCCCACCTGTGGCACATGGTCAGCACGGGCGCCTTGGCGCAGCCCTGCGCCTCAAAGGCGCTGCCGCGGTCGGCGATCTCATCAGTGGCAAGCACGCTGTGCACCCGCCCCGCGGCAATCAGAGCGTGCCTGCGGCGGGGCAGGGGCGGCGGTGGGCGCCTGGCGCGGGTGCATCCGCTGTGCGCATGCACGCGTGTGGCGGCGGGCCGGGCAGGCTTCCAGGGTGCGAGCCGGCACGCTCTCGCGCGTGCAGGGCTGCTGCTGGCTGTCGCTTCAACCGCCGGCCCGCCGGCCGGCCCACCTGTTGGCAGGGATTCCGTAGATGGGTGTGGGCCTGGGGATACACTCCTCCGTCACAAACTGGCCCAGCCCCAGCTGGCCTGTGGGGGCGCACAGCATTGATGTGATGAGCCATGCACGGCGGATGCAGCGCATGGGGCGGCAGGCGGCAGGCAGAGCGCCGAGGAGGGCGCGCCGCGGCGTGGCGGGTGATGCCGCGGCGTGGCGGGTGATGCAACGGCGCCAGGCCCCGGCAGCGGGCGCCTCACCGCCGCCGTTCCACCCCCAGGACACCACGCCGCCGTCGGCCAGCACCCCCAGGCAGTGCCCCAGCCCCGCCGCCACCTGCGGGCGGGGGTGGCTCGGGCGTCGATGAATAGGCTGATGGGGCGGGCGGCGCTTTCACCAGCCCCGCATCGGGGCATACCCTGTAAACATGTATACACTGTACTATGCATAGCCCAGGAGGCTGGGCGAGCGCAGTGCTGGGGAGCCTGGCGGCGGCCACCCCGCCCTCCCGCGCCTCGCCTTTCTGAACTTGATGCGCCGCCCGCAGTCGGCCTCGGGGTTGACTATCCAGCTGGAGGCGCAACTGGGCGCCAGGTGCTCGCCCTGCGCATGGGGGAGCAGCCAGGACGCGGAGCGGGTGTGGGCAGGTGGCACTAGCATGGCAGGTGTGCGCAGTGGCGCTAGTGGCGGGTAGCGCTTGGCAAGCGCCGAGGCGGCCTAGTGGGCGGGCAGCGCCTGCGCAGGCTCCCCCAGCACAGCGCGGGCACAGGCAGGCTGCAGCCCGCCGCAGCAGCAGCCCCGGGGCGTGCCTGCGGCTGGCTGGGCCTCCCCAGCTGCCCTAGAGAGTTGTCGCCCATCGTGAACAGCGAGCCATCCTCTGCCAGCACCATTGTGTGGTCAAAGCCGCACACCATCTGCAGGATGGGTGGGTGGGCGGGCGCATGCGGGGCTCGCCCTGCCAGCCATCACAGCGACAGCAGCGGCAGCAGCAGCGGCAGCAGCAGCGGCAGCAGCAGCAGCGGCGCCTGCTTGTTCTCTCTCTCGCCTGCAGTATGCGAACCCCTGCCAACAGGTCCACCCGCCGCGGCTCCCAGCAGCTCCGCTCCACCAGCCGCCCCTCCTCCTCGTCCTCGTCTGCGGCAGCGTGGCGCAGCAGCAGGCGCAGTTCCGAGCAACATCGTCAGCAGCAGCTGCTGCCGCTGCAGAAGCACGCAGCTCTGCAGAGCAGGTGGGCTGGGGCAGCAGCTACGGCAGGCCTTCACCTGAGGAGGCAAAAGAGTGACCGAGACGGCCAGAGGCGGCCCAACCCCACGTGTACAGACTCCCGTCCTCTGCATGAAGGACATACCGGCAGCATGACCCTGTTCAGTAAATCTGTTCATCACACACCAGACAGGCAGTCGCATGCAGGATGGCACGCATGCAGGTCCGCCAGCAGAGGCAAGCACCTTGGACGCACCCAGCAGCGCGGCGGCGTGCCCCCACCCAGCGGATACTTGGACCGCCGCCGCCGGCAGGCGCAGCTGCTGCGGGTGCGGCGCCGATGGCTGGCCGGGCCCCAGGCCCAGCTGCCCGCGCTTGCTGGCGCCAAACACAAACAGGGCGCCGTGGCGGGAGAGCGCAAAGGAGGCCACGCCGCTGCCGGTGGCGGCCACGATCTGCAGCGGTGGCGGGGCAGCCTTCCAGCCATGGCGAGTAGCAAGTGTGCGAGCGGCTTGCGGCACACTGGCAGCTGCGCAGCGCTAGCACTCCGACTGCCGTGAACGGTGCTGCGGCACCCCTGGCACTCACATGCTCCTTGCTCAGCGCCTCCACCGGCTGAGGCGCTGCCGAGAAGTCAAACTCGCCAGGCGCCAGCACCCTGCCCAGCTGCCCCTCCTTGTTGCGCCCCCACGCAAACAGCTGGCCCTGCGGGGGGTGGCGGCAGCGCATTCCAAGAGTGCCTTCAAGGCCGGAGCTGGTTGCCACACGTCACACTCTCGATTCAGGCATGCTCCCCTCCCACAGCATGCATCCTGGCAGCTCCCGTCTGCGCGCCTCGTCCGTGGCGGCGTAGCTGGCGTAGTGGCCTGCGCCGACCGCCACGACGTTGTCTGGCAGGTCAGGAATGTGCTCTGGCTCGTAGTGGTCCCGATCCGAGCGGATTCCCAGCGCGCCCTGCAACGGCCGTGCCCAGTGCCAGCATCCTTAGGCTGGGAGCCGAGTGGCGGCGCCCGGCGGGAGATGGGCGGCACCAAGGCGGAGACCGCCGCAAGCGCCTGCACGACCGATCCCTGCCCCGCGCACCTGCTGGCCGAGGCCCCAGGACAGGACAGCGGCGGCCCCATGAGCGAGTGACGAAACTGCCCGAGAGGCCTGTAGCACCGATATGCCACTGCTGGCCTGCATGTGATGAAGGACAAGGCGTGATGGCTGAAAAATAAGAAGAATGACTCCAGTGGCGGTTGACAGCTTTATTTGCACCGCTCCGCCTCCGATAGAGCCGCCGCCGCCAGGTGCATCCTGGAGCCTCCCAAAGCACCAGTGCAGCCTGATGAGTCTAGGGCCTGACAAATGCTACAGATTCATGATATTCGTGGTTACAGCGTGCAAATGGCAACCGCTGGGATCTACCGGGGTGTTACCGGACAGGGGCGGTGACACGACGTGTGGCCACCACATGCGGCATTACTATTGAGTACAACAGTAGATAGTGTCTCAAGGCTGTATCCCCCCCAGTGATTGGAAACAACTAACAAAACTGAAACAGTAATATGAGCAAAGAGGGGAGGAGTATACAGGTGGTCAGTGTGTGGCAAGGGTGGCAAGAAGGGGAGGCATGCCTCCACAGCCCGGCACGCCGGTAGCCCAAGGGCAATCCAACGACAGGCAAGCCGAGTTCAGGCAGCAGCCCAGGTGGCAAAGGATGAAATGGAGTGAGCAAAGAAACAAGTTGTTGTGTGTGTGTGTGTGTGTGTGTGTGTGTATGTGTGTGTGTGTGTGTGCGCGCGTGCGTGTGTACTGGGGCATGGGCGCCAATGTGTGGTGGTGGTGCTGGGTTTGCGAGGTGGTGGTGGAGCAGCTGCAGCCACAGCCCAGAATCGGGTGTCGCAGCTGCTAGTATGGCGGCTGTGGCGGCAGTGCTAGGGCCGGGGCGGGCACGGCTGCGGCTGTGGCCAGGGTGGCATACACCCCTAGCGCCTGCTCCACCGCGCGGCACGACAGCTCCTGGATGGCGCCGGCAAACGGCAGCAGCTCCTGCCGCTGGCTGAACAGCTGCGACAGCTGCAGGCGCAGGCCCTGCGGCAGCAGCGCCTGCAGGTCCGCCAGCTGCGCGGCAGCTGCCGCCTTGGCCGCCGCCTTGGCCGCCGCCGCCGTGTCCTCCAGCACGCCCCGCGGCGAGGAGCCGCCGGAGCTGCCGCCTGCGGCTCCCGCTGGGGCGGGCTGGCCCGCCAGGCGCTGCTGCGCAGCCGCCAGCTGCTGGCGCAAGGAGGCCAGCTCGCGGTCCCGCTGCGCCAGCTGGCGCTGCGCCTCGTCCAGCTGCCGCCGTACCGCGTCGTGCTGCTCCCAGGCATCCAGCGCCGCATCCAGCGGTACCAGCTCCGCCTGCTGCGCCGCCGCCTGCGCCGCCGCCTGCGCCGCCGCCTGCGCCGCCTGCTGCTGCCCGGGAAGCTGCCCCAGGGCCGTGGAGCCGGCGGCCGGCGCCGCCGGCTGCAGGGCCTGCAGCGGAGCGGCCGCAGGCGAGTGCGCCAGCACCCCGGAGAGCTCCCCGAGCAGCGGCAGCTGCTGGTGCGAGCCTCCAGCCGACCGCAGCCCCGGCTCCGCGGGCGCGGTGGGCGAGCCTCCTGCCTGCTGCTGCTGCTGCTGCTGCTGCTGCTGCTGCAGCATGCCATAGCTGACTGTGCTGGGCTCGGGAGCTTGAAGGTGCAGGAGCCAGTCTGAGAACGCCATGGAGGCTGCTGGCGTGGCCGCCGTGGGGGTGGGAGCGGCTGCAGGCGGCGGCAGCGCGGCCGCCGCCGCAGCAGCAGCAGCGGGCACCCGCGCAGTCGACTCTGCGGGCCGCTGCAGCACCTGCTGCTGCAGTGCGGCCAGCTGCGGCGGCGCCAGCAGGCCCGCTAGGCCCTGCAGCGGCGCCGCCGGGGCGAGGACCCCGTGCATGGCAGCGGTCGCGTCCGCCTGCCGAGCACCTGCTGAGCGCGCTACTGGGAGCGCCACCGGCAGCCCCGCCGCTGCTGCCGCCGCGGCGGCTGCGCCGGCCGGCGTGGCTGCCGCTCGCGGCAGGCCGGTGAACGGGTCTCGCGGGCTGCCGCCGCCGGCCGACAGCAGCACGCGGCGGCTGCCGCCGCCGCCGGCGGGCGGCGCGCCGGGCGGGCGCGGGCGCTTGCGCAGCGGCGCGCCGCCGCCGCCTCCGCCGCTGCCCGGGCCCGACAGCCGCTCATTCAGTTTGGCGCGGGCATCGTAATTGACTGCCAGCATGTGCTCCACTGCAGCCAGCCCCACCGCCCACTCCAGCGCGTGCCGCCGGGAGTCGGCCACGTCTGCGCCGCCGAGGAAGGGGAATGCAACACGGCGTCAGCTCAGGCCGGGAATGCAACACGGATTCAGCTCGGCGATGCATGCGCCAGTACCGTGCTGCCGCACCCGCACAACACAACAGCGGCTGTGAGTACCACACGCGCGCTGCCTCCGCCTCCCTGCCCTCCCCACCAGCGCCCCCAGCGAAAACAAACGGCACTCCCGATGCCTCCGCTCGCCCCACCCCCAACGCCACGCGCGCAGTACCATCTACATAGTACCACAGTACCCACCTGCCTCTCCATCGAAGAAGTGGTACTCCCGCTGGTACAGCTTGCGTACCGTCAGGCGCCCCACCCGCGCCACCGCCTCGGGCCCAAAGAAGCGGGCAGCCTCCACCAGCGTCTCCTGCGTGAAGCAGCCGGCAGGCGAGGTGGGTGGCGGGGCGGAGGGCGCCGACGGCGGTCGGAGGGTGGGAGACGGGAGCAGGACGGGGGGGCACGGGACGGCACGGGAGGCGTGCCCCCAAATTTTCGATGACAGGCAGGCAGCGAGGCATATAGCCAAAAGAGGCCTGGCGAGGGCGGGCCGCGGCGTGTGCCCGCGTCCCGCTGCCATGCCACTCCCACCTTTGCTCGCCGTAGCGCCACCTCTTCTGCAGAGTCAGGGGGCTGCAGGCTGCCGGTGGTGGTGCCCGCCCCCGTCTCCTTCTCTTTGGCCTGCCAGGAGATGGTCTCAGGAGAGAGAGGTCAGGCAGGCAGGCAAGCAGGCAGGCAGGCAAGCGGTCAGCAAGGCAGGCAGGCAGGCTGGCAGGCAGGCAGCCGGCCAGGGAGCGCCCGCAACACATCACTGCAGTGCCAGGCTTGGCCGGGGGGTGTCAGCGGCAGCACAGGGCGAGGCAGGGCGCACGCACCAGCTGCCGCAGCCGGCCCCAGTGCTCGTCGTCCTGCTCGCCAACGCCGGCGACGGTGGCGATGCGCGGCGCGCCGCCAGAGCCCTCTGCCGTCCAGGTCACCCAATCTAGGCCCAGCCCGGCGTAGCCGCCCACTTGCCCCGCCAGCTTGGGCAGCGCATGCTGCACCAGCACGCCCAGCTTGCACCGCACAGGCCCCTCCTCCGCAGCCTCCTCGCCGCCGCCGCCACCCTCGCCGCTGCTGCCGCCGGGCCCGCTGCTGTCGGTGTCACCGGTGCTGCTGCCCAGGTGCACGTACACGTTCATGGCGGGGTTGCGGCCCTTGCGGTCCCAAGCGTTGCACTTCTGAGGGCCGGTGGGGGCGCCCTCCTCGCTGTCGTCGCCCGCCGCGGCGGCGCCCGACTCTGCGGTCACGAAGCACCACGCATCGCCGCCGGTGTGCGAGCACTTGACGCCATCCTGCAGCGCATGCCGGGTGTGCGTCAGTGCTTGAGCGGCTGGCGGGAGAAGCCCGGCGGTGAATTGGTGGCTCACCTGCGCCACCTCCAGGAGCAGGATTCTCGACTCTTTCGGCGTCTTGCCGAGGCTAGCTGTGAAGCGCAACCCGCGCTTCAGCGCCATGCCGCCCGCAGCTGCCCTAGCCTGCCTGTATCGCAGCCCGCATAGCTTTGTGCCACAGCGTGAGCAAACAGGAGGGGCAGGTGAATGGAGCTGAGGGCGGCGCGCAATTGCGCACTAATTCACTGCCATCTGGCGTCCACCCTCGCTTGCCCCAGCCCTAAGGGCAAAAACCTTTGCCCTCAGAGTGAACATGCGGTGTTGCCGATTACGCACACAATGTCTATCGATGTGGTATCATGGAAAGCAGCCACGGCTGCGGGGGGTTCAGGAGGAGGGACGCAATAGGGTATCCATGGAAAAAGGGAGGGGTCGTTGACGGGAAAAAAACCAGGCGGCGCTGCCACCCACAGGAGGAGCAATGGCCACGCCGGGCCAGGCCGACTGCAAAATAACGAAATCCAGAGGGGAGCGAGCGAAGCACGGGAACTGCGGCAAACAGCGGAGCGGGAAGGAAGGGGAGGGCTCGCTGGCTAGTTCGTACCGTTGATGCCGTGGTGAGTGAAGAGGCGTGTGCGGGGGCCGCTGCCCGCCCTTCCGGGGAGGGATGCAGCGCCCGCGCAAACACCAGGGGCTCAGCCACGGCATGCACCAGTCACCAGCAGCAGAGGGGCCGCGGGTGGGGGGGGCGGTGGCGTGGGGCGGCGCGGCAGCCGTTGGGCGTCAGCATGCGCCGCTGGAGGCTCGTCGCAAGTCGCGACTCGCCTGCCCAGGCGCAGGTGCCGGCAGCGCGGCAGCAGCGCCGTCCGCGCCGCCGCTTCACCACTCCGCGGGCTGCTGCTGGGTGATGCACTGCAGGCAGTGGGCGCAGGGGTGAGGCACGTGAGGCGGTGGCAGAGGAATGGCAGCGCGCGGCGGGGTGGAGCAAGCCGGCAACACACACCCCCAGCAGCGGCAGCACACCACCAGGCCGCCGCCAGGCTGCTCCCAGGCAGGGAGCCCAGCAGAGCCACCCCATGCCGCCCACCCAGGCTGGCCAACCGCCAAAACAAAAAACCAAAAAACAAGAACAGGGAAACTCACGTGCACGTTGCCGGCGTTGAGCAGCACCTCGCGCGACTCGACATTCACGGTCTTGCAGTTGGGGTCCAGGTACCTGCAAGAGGCAGGGCAGGGCAGGGCAGGGCCACGGGCGGGAGGCACGGTGGGCGGAGACGGGAGGCAGGGAGGGGGATGCCAGTGGCGGTGGCGCGATCAGTATGCACGGTGCCGGAGTGTGCGCGGCCTGTTGCTCTTGCTGCCAAACACCCACACCCATACCCACACAGCCTCCTCCCTCGGCCCTCACTTGCAGTATGCCTCTCCCAGGATGTCCAGCGCCCGCTGGTCCGCCATGGCGGCGCCCGCGCCAAACTGCGGGGCAAGGGCGGGGCGGGCCGGAGGGGGAGCACGGCACACGGTGGGCACAGGCAGGGTGGAGGTTGCTACCGCCGCCATCCCAACACCTCTGCTGACCCACATGCACATGCCTGCCACAACCGCAGATGCCTAGCCCAGGTCACAACCAACCACATGCACGCACGCATGCACACACACACACACGCGCGCTTGCATGCACACACATGCGTGCATGCACACAGGCACACACCTTGGACAGCACGGCGCCGCCGTTGGCCTTGTAGTGGTTGATGTAGGAGGCGGACAGGCGCTCGCCGGGGATGCGGGGCGTGTAGCCCTTGTCGTAGTGGTCGGCCTGCGGTACAGGCACAAATGGGGCGGTACCGTCGGTATATGTGAGAGGGCGGTGCAGGTGCACGAGCAGGATAAGTCAGCAGGGGCGATGAGCAGCAGGCAAGGACAGGCTGCACGCCGGCAGAGAAGCCATGCCGGCTGGTCCGCCGCCGGCAGCCCCCCAGCGGCTGCCACCTCAGCGGCTGCCACCTCACCAGCAGGCCGCCGGCTTCCTTGTAGGTGCGGAAGATGGCGGGGGGGCAGGGCACCTTGACGATGGTCAGCTTGCGGCCCTTGGCGTCTGCGCAGGGAGGGACACAGGCCGGGGTCAGGGGGGCCGGATGGGCACTCATACATGGCAGGCCGACGTGGCGAGGCGACCGGCGCTGCACCCATCCTGTTTCTCCTTTCCAGGCGCGCCACACACAGCACACGCATGCAAACTTCAAACAAAAACCATAAAACAACCGAAAAAACATCGAAAAAAACGTTAAAAAACGTATGTACCGGTGGTGTTGGACAGGCGCTCGTAGGCATCGATGGAGATCTCCCACTGAGGGTCGTTGAAGTCGTTCTCGTCGTTGGGCCAGGCCAGCGCCACCACGCCCGGGGCGATGAAGCAGCAGAAGTTGTCCACGTGACCTGCGCGGGGCAGGGGCGCGCCGGCATGTTCGCAGGACGCCTGAGTCCGGGGCCCCGCGGTGGCCCGCGTCGAGCGGGCAGAGGAGGCGGCCGCGCCGGCAGCGGGCGCCACCGCCCGCTGGCCGTGAGCGTCCCAGCGCACCAGCCCAACCCTCCCAGCCTTCCGTCAGCCTTCCGTCCTCCCAGCCCCAGCCCGCCAGTCACCAGCCGCAGGAGGAAGACAGCCACACCACAGGAAGAAAGAAAGAAGGAAAACAAAGGAATCGAAGGCGGCCGCCGCTCACCGTTGACCACCGAGTCGTCTCCCGCCACGCCCTTCCACAGCCAGATGATCTTCTCCAGGCCCAGGTACTCCTTGAGCACCGCCTCGATGCCCGCCTTGCCGTAGTGCGGGTTGCGCGACGGGTGCAGCAGGCACTCCTCGGTCACCACCAGGGTGCTGCGGGGGGCGGGCGGGTGGGTGGGTGGGTGGGTGGCAAGGATTGCGCTGGGGGTGTGGAACGGGCTGGAACGGGGACCCAGGTGGGCTGGCTGGCTGGCTGGCAGGCTGCGCACACACACACACCTCCAGCCGCCGCCCACCTCAGCTCCCACGTCCCAGTCGCTGCCCCGCTGACCCAGCTCCCCAGTTGCCAGCATGCCAGCCCGCCCCAAGCACGTCGCTCACCCCTCGCCGTCCGAGTGGATGGAGCCGCCCTCGATGTGGATGGGGGCCTCAAACACGCGGGACCCCGTGGCCTCGATCAGCTTCCGGCCAGCTTCATAGTCCACAGCCCAGTCCTCCTCGGGCATGAAGGTGGGCAGGCCGATGAGCTGCGGGGGAGGGGGTGGGGGTTTGGGGGGGGTGGGGGGTGACGAGGGCGTGGCAGGAGTGACGGGATGCAACTAGGC